TGGCTGAAGTCGGACGCTTAACCGACTGCGCCACCCAGGCGCCCCTGTGTGTGTGTTTTTTTAATGTTTTATTTATTTTTGAGACCGAGAGAGACAGGGCATGAGCAGGGGAGGGGCAGAGAGAGAGGGAGAATCCGAAGCAGGCTCCAGGCTCCCAGACGTCAGCACAGAGCCCGACGTGGGGCTCGAACCCATGAACTGTGAGATCATGACCTGAGCCGAAGTTGGACACCCAGCCAACTGAGCCACACAGGCGCCCCGATTGTGTCTTTTTTAATCTAAGAACTGGCTGACCCTAACACCTCATACACATCAAATACATGCCGATGGCATGATTGAATGGAAAACAAAGACTTTAACAATTTTGAGAGTAGTTCTACCATCTCCTTGGGTAAGGTACAAGGCAGAGCAATAAAATTAGTGTAACGGGAAGACGTGCCCACATTTTGAAGCCACAGCTATTAAACCCAACTGCAGTATTGCTAGCTTAGGAAAAGAAGTTCTATCACGTATGGTTATAAACTTTCTGCCATTGATGAGAGCAGCAAGGATTGAGGGGGCAGGGTCAAGGAAAGCACTGGAAGACTCCCAGAGTACAGAAAGTCCAACATGAATATGAACAACATTTTAGGGAGTGGAGACTATATGCTGAATATTGCCATTTTAAAACACTGAGACCAAGGATGGTAATAATTCACATCACCAGTTTAAGCACAGCGTCAAACTTCCCAAATCAGTGACTTGTTATGATTAATGCTTACTTCCCATTCATTTAAATCTTGCTGAATGATAAGAACAAAGGTGGAGAAAGGCATTTTAGGAAGCAGTAGCCATAAAAATAGTCCCCATGTATTGAACACCAACTGTGCCAGTAAATATTTCTATTACTAAGTGACAACTGCTCCGTAAGGCGAGTATTGCTGTCTGTACATTACTGAAAATATAGCGGAATCTCAGATTGGTTCAGTAGCTTGCCCAAACTCACATAGCTCAAATGTGGTGGAACTGGACTTTAAACTCAGGCCTGATCTTAAAGCATTGTGCTCTTTAGGACCACAGAGTCTGCCTTGAACTAACTCATTTTGAATCATTTCCTCCCCCACTCCTTGCTCTGTTCTGAATAAGAGTAGTCAGCTACTCAAGTTATACAGTACTTTACATCCTCATGTTGGAAGAGGATATAGAAACACTTAAATTCTTCCAAATCAATGATCAGATAGTAATTTTCAAATAGTGGTCTGTTATAAAAACATGTCTGAATGAGTATATATTTTCATATGCCAATTCGAGAAAATCTGGTTTGGGTAAATATGTCTCTCACATCTATACTTACAGTCTTATTTTGGGTAGGTGCACAGTTTTCAACGGAAGGATTTAGAATTTTAAAAATAGGACCTCCTTGGTGCACCTGGGTGGCTCAGTCAGTTAAGCATCTGACTTCGGCTCAAGTCATGATCTCGCAGTTCACAAGTTAGAGCCCCACGTCGGGCTCTGTGCTGACAGCTCAGAGCCCGGAGGGAGCCTGCTTCGGATTCTGCGTCTCCCTCTCTCTATGTCCCTGCCCTGGTTGTTCTCTCTCTCTCTCTCTCTCTCTCTCTCAATCTCTCTCAAAAATAAATTTAAACAATTAAAAAATTAAATAAAATAAAAATACGACCTCCTAAAAAAATAAAAAAAAACTTAATAAGCATGATAATTACCATAATACTAGGCACAGGGATTGTAGGGTGAAAGGGGAAAGGGGGGAAAGATGAAGTGAAGGAATGAAGCAATTGAAAGTAAGACCTGACTCTCCAAGTGCTCAGTTAATGTTTCTGGAACTCTTCCTGCCTGACATGTCTGCACAGCCTGGTGTTGGAACTGGGAACACCGCCAACTGTGAGCACTATACATATTCATCTCTGGCTTGGGTTTTTTACTCTGCAAGGAAGGTGGCTGAGATCTGCTTAGCTTGGCAAATCATACAAAATGGGTTTCTCCACAGAGTGTTGCCTCTTCACTAGGACACAGCCCAGACTGATGCTTGAGGCTTTATCCTTTTTGGAAATAAATCCCCCAAAGAAAGTGCAACTGAAGCATGCTTGTAAAGAGAAGAATGCAAACGTTGGTACAGAAAATCAGTTGCTTGAGAAATAATGAGTGGAAAATTTTAAACGTTGGTTATAAAATATATTTGAATACAATCATCCTTACCAGCTCTGCTGATGGATGCAACTACCAGTTTGTTTTAGCTTTGGATAGGAATCAAAACCACATGACCACAAACTCTAGATCTAGATGGCTTAATTATAGAAGATTCTAGAGCACTGACAATAACTCGTCTTTGGTTGGAACGAAGCTCTCTTAACCACTCTCTCTGTAACCATTACTGGATTAACTGATTCTCCATCCTCTTTGTAAAATGTACCTTTCTTTTTTTTTGAAGTTTTTGAATGTTTATTTATTTTTTGAGGGAGAGAGAGAGAGACAGAGACAGAGACAGAGCATGAGTGGCAGAAGGGCAGAGACAGAGGGAGACACAGAATCCAAAGCAGGCTCCAGGCTCTGAGCTGTCAGCACAGAGCCTGACATGGGGCTCGAACTCACAGACTGCAAAATCATGACGTGAGCTGAAGTCGGAGGCTTAAGACTGAGCCACCCAGGTGCCCCTAAAATGTACCTTACAATGCCATAGAATGCTCTAGTGTAATAGGTCTCTCTTTCTAGTACCTCTGTGAATCTCTGTTCCTGCTAACAATTGTGTTGTAAGCTTAAAAATTCAGTCAATTTTGTTTATTCCCAAGCTTGTTGATGTTAGTTTTACTAGTTTTTGTAACTATGTAATCTGATGAATCTCACATAACCTATGAAACATGAGTACAGTGGTTCTATGAAAACAAAATCAAATTCTTTGGAAAGATTCAATAAGGGAGGTCGTTAGGCAAAAATCTACTGTTAATTCTGTAGAAGAAAAACTTGAAAATATTGGGCAAGTAAAAAAATCTAAATGGAGTAAACATTCAGATTAAATTCTTTAAATTTTCACTATATTAAAACAAAAACAAAACTGGAGATCATGAGCTGTATATTATATGTATGGTTTAGGAATCCAAACAAGTAAAAAGACTTGTAACTGTGATCAGCAGAATGATATTCATAGCAAAGAAGTTGGCTTCACCCCCGAGATTGGTAAAATTTTAAGTTAAATGTTTATGCTATCCATAGCTATCATTTTCTGTTAATTCCCCACATTAGCTGCGTCGTTCAATTATGGACTTTTTTCAATCAGCTCTAGGTTCTTATCATAATCAGATAAAAGACCCTCTACTGCTGCTCAGACTGTGTTCCTTGGACCACAGTAGGAAGGCTGCTAGAAATGCAGAGTCTCGGGCCTCATCTGGGTGTAATATCCAGGAACTGTGTTCTAACAAGCTCTTCAGGTGATTCTGAGGCCCTTAAAGTTTGAGAAGCCCTGTCCCATTGTGTTCCTCCATTACTAGAAACACTACCAATGAATATAGCCCTTTTAGAAAACAACAGGATACTTCCAATCCATGAGCATGGAAAATTTTTCCATTTCTTTGTGTCTTCTTCAATGTCTTTCATAAGCTTTCTATAGTGAAAGATATATGATTTCACTCATATGTGGAATTTGAGAAACTTAACAGCTGATCATAGGGGAAGGAAGGGAAAAATAAGATAGAAACAGAGAGGGAGGCAAACCATAAGAGACTCTTTACTTTTTTTTAAGTCTCTACCTCATGGAAAAAAAATTTTTAATTTTTAATTTTTAATTCTCTCACTGGGGCAGTGAGAGAGGGAGACACAGAATCCAAAGCAGGCTCCAGGCTCTGAACTGTCAGCACAGACCCTGACGTGGAGCTCGAGTCCATGAACTGCGAGATCATGACCTGAGCCGAAGTCTGATGCTTAACTGACTGAGCCACCCAGGCGCCCTTATAAGAGATTCTTAAATACAGAGAACAAACTGAGGGTTGTTGGGGGTGGGGTGGGGTAAGTGGGTGATGGGCATTAAGGAGGGTACTTGTTGAGATGAACACTGGGTGTTATATGTAAGAGATGAATTGGGTTCTACTCTTGAAGCCAAGACTACACTGTATGTTAAGTAACTTGAGAATTAAAAATAATTAAAGAAAAAAAAAAGAAAACAATATGATACAAGACTCATCAGGAATCACGAGAAGTTCCTTTTTACTCTTACTCAGCAGTTCTACTTCTAAAACTATTTCCTAAGGGAATAACTCAAAAGAAGAAGAAGAGTTGAGTAAAGATATCCATATGTAAAGATGTCTGTGATTGTACTATCTACAATAACTGGAAGCCATCTAAGTAAGAAGAGAAAAATGATAAATAAATTACAGACAATGGTAGATATTAAGTGTTTGAAAAGTGGGTAATGTGCTTATGAAGGTGTAACACACACTGATTATGTAATACAAATATCAACTAGAAAATGACTAGTTCCATTGTGTTAGGGTAGTATTGGGTGATGCTTTAGTTTTCATTTTTAAACATTGCTTTGATACAGCTGCAATAATGTTGTATAATAAAAACCTTAACTGTACAATTTAAAGCACCCCTATTGAAAATTCATAGTACCGGGGCGCCTGGGTGGCACAGTCGGTTAAGCATCCGACTTCAGCCAGGTCACGATCTCGCAGTCCGTGAGTTCGAGCCCCGCGTCGGGCTCTGGGCGGATGGCTCAGAGCCTGGAGCCTGTTTCCGATTCTGTGTCTCCCTCTCTCTCTGCCCCTCCCCCGTTCATGCTCTGTCTCTCTCTGTCCCAAAAATAAATAAAAACGTGGAAAAAAAATTAAAAAACAAAAAAAAAATTCATAGTACCCTCTTAACATAACACACAATTGAAAGACCCCTTTAACTATGTAAGACTGCTGCAAAGTCACTAGCCAGCTGTCGCATGTAAAACATCAAGATGTCATATCTTTTGTGACAGACGGGCAGTTAGAGAAGTCAGTCGTAACTAAGAAGGCTATCAATACCTGAATTATCTTCATCTTTGCGGATTTTGAGCTTCACCAAGTCTTCACATTGCTGGAGGATCTGAACCGCATCTTCCATAGAACAGTTGTCCAGCCGGATGTTATCTATTGCAAGTAATTTATCCCCCAGTTCCAGGGTGCCAGTCCTGTTAGTAAATGCACAGCGACACATGATGAATGAGCACTTACCCTGGTCATTTAAGAGGCATTAAGAAGAGTGTGGCAGTAATGGCAGTCTTTAGAGGGAAAGACGTCCTCCAGCTATTTTTAAATTGCATTTTATGAACAAATCCCTTTTTTTCCAGTCTTGTTTTGGATGGCTGCCATGACACCAAATTTCGGAGTATTAAAAACATTTTTCTTAAGTGGTTTCTTCAAGTCGTCGAGGACAGCTATATAAGCTTCCCTCAGGAATTCTAAGTTTCCCAGGAAGGGAGGTGAAGGGGCAGGGTTTACAGACACTGGGAGTCCTCATGCTTCTCCGCATCGGTGCACTCCTTTTCTTCCTGGGCAATTCCAGGTACTAGGAGAGGGCTGAGAGATGGTGGGCGAGACTTAGTGGATGTCAGAGTCTTGGTGTCCCTGCCCTTTCCACCTGTCCCGGGAAACACACTGTGGCTGCCATAGGGAGAAAGGGTGAATCTGATGCTACCTATCTGCGAGGTGGCCACTGAGAGTCTCACACTGGCCATGGACCTCTGCAGGTCTGTTGGAAATATTTAAGGTCCATCATGAAATAAGAAAAATAATGAGAATGGATACGTGTTTGTGCATATATGCACACACATACATATTTGTAAGGAAGGTTATGTTTTGGGAAGGACTATCTTTCATGCATTATGTCTGTGGCAGAGATTGCTAACTGCTTTCCTGCATCTAATTTCCTCTCTCTTCTTCTGGGTCGCTCCTTGAAGATGCATGTCCCAGACTCCCTCGACACCACTCTCACTTCCCTTTCACGGCTAGAAAGCCGCAATGACGGGAGCAAGCTGGTGAGGATGGCAGGATTGCTGCCCTAGTCCTGCACTGCCTGCCTGCCTCCCAGCTGTCACATGAGATACAGTGCAGTCTTGTTTGACCCAGTCTGTTTATGAGCCTCCCTGTCATGGCATCTGAGCCTATGCCGATATACCTAAACCCATACAATGTCCTTCCTGCTTTTTGAGCATTAGAGTATTTCTTTAATGAAATGACTGTGATAATAGAAGGGTTTCTTTTTTTTTTTAAGTCTTAATTGGACAATAGAAAGTTAAGTCTTACATAAGTATTCCCAAACATTTAAAAATATTTTGATCTGTGACACTGAAAGTTTGAGACTCCCTGAGTTTAAAGGTATATGGGCCAAATAGGACATTGTTCTAGGCTCAGGGATCTGGCTTGGCTAGGGAGGACATTCGGGCATCTCACAAAGCTCTCCCACAAGCTATTATCTCTATGTGGGGTGTTTTATAATTGGGACCACAAGTAGGACCACTTCCAGTTTCTTAGCTGGAAAATGAAGATAGTCAGTGAAGGAGAGCCTATGATAGATTCGGGAAGGACCCTAACAAATATTTTCAGGTGATTATTGTCTACAGTGGGTACAAAAATAAATAAATAAGGTGGGAGAGCTACACAGTCATTGCATGAGAAATGTCGAATATAATCAATTAATAGTGGCTGTCTGGAAAATGATTCATTAGGAAGGTCTACCTTCGGTGTGGAAAGGGTCACTTCTACTTTAATTAAGGAAGCCTTACACCCAGCTGCCTCAGTCGTTAGAGCATGTGACTCTTGATCTTGGGGTCATGAGTTCGAGCCCCACATTGGGGATAGAGTTTACTTAAAAAAGAGAAAAAAGAAAAAAAAAAGAAATGCCTTGGAATGAACCAGAAAATTCATTTTCCTTACCTATGTGCCACACTGCCTTTCTTGATATCTGATATGACAAGGGGATCTCCTGGTTTTCTGCTGGATGGTGCTGTAATAATAGATTTAGAATAGTTACACCTTTATACCCATGATTCACCCACACTGTACATTTCCAGTTTGTAGCAATGGTTAATGCAGGTACAGTTTGTATGCAAAGCAAAGCTGCTCAGCAAACAGATTAGAAAATGTGCACATTACACCTTCTTGATATAAAGACATTTGTGTTGAAGTATTTACAAACTTAAAAACAAAAGCCAAGCCATTAAAAAAATTTTTTTACTGTTTATTTTTGAGAGAGACAGAGAGAGAGAGACAGAGTGTGGGCTGGGGAAGGGGCAGAGGGAGGGAGACATGGAATCCATTGCAGGCTCTAGGCTCCGAGCTTGTCAGCACAGAGCCCAACACGGGGCTTGAACTCATGACCCGTGAGATCATGACCTGAGCCAAAGTTGGACGCTTAACCAACTGAGCCACCCAGGAGCCCCAAAACAAAGTCATTTTAAATTTGCAGTTGGAGAAAGCAACTGCAGAACTTCCCATCAGGTTTCAATCTATTTCAACCTGTGATTTCCAAGAGAAAGGTGAAAGGTGAGCACCCCAACTGGAGAGTATCAGACACAACTGGGGGCTCCCCTTAGGGGTATTCACATGGGCTCCCTTCTCCCTTCCCTTCTTTTTGGTGAGGAGACAGCACTTTTTATGGGACTATGCCATATTACTCCAGTGGATGGGGCTGGAAAGTGGATGAGATTCACTGATTTAAAGTTCTTCTTTTTTTCAGAAGGAAATCTTTTGCTAGATAGACAGTAAATCTTAAAATTTCGCTCACACATTCACACCTAGAATGCTCTGAAATGTTCTGGAATGTGACTATTTTGTTTTACTGAGAATAGTCAATATTTGGTGTGACTTAATTACATGTTTATACATATGCATATTCTAAATATATACATGTAACTTTTATCGAGTTTACAGATTATTCCATTATCCTGCACAGTGGTCAGTTTTGGGCTTTATAACTTCTCTTAGGGATGTTTCCATTTGATGAGACTCAATACATTTGGTATTGAGTCTACCTTAGATTTAATCCTGAAAATGAACTACAGCTCACATAAGTACAAAAATACCATCTTGATCTAGAAGGTTTACATTTAATGTAGGAGACTGATAATTAAAATAACCCATACCGACATTTATAAAAAAAAAACAATTCGCCTCCGAGAGAAGAGGTTTTACCAGTTTGAAGTATGTTGTGATTTCCTTTTAAGGATCATTAAAAGGCCCCTAAAGTAAGATTTTATTATAAACAGGCTGATCACCCCATAATAATCATAGAACCATATCATATCCCATAATCCCATCTGAATCCCAGGAAAATGTTTATACTCAGGAACAGATGGTTTAATATCTCAACACAACATTGAAAAAAAAGCAAACACATATACCAATACCTTACCCGCTGTCTAAATTAGTCCATAGTAAATGTTAATGGGACTTCATTCAATCATTATTCTTAGCTTCTAGCAAAGTATGCAAAACATTCTATTCACTACAATTAATTCATAATTTAAACCTCCACTCAATGATCTGATATAATTCCGCTAGAGAAATAGAAACATTGAGCAAATTTTTACACATGTCTTATTTCACAACCGCAAATTGTTTTGGGCATAGGGCACAAAAACAAAAACTTTGTTATCACCAGAAAATACAACTCTTCTAGCATCTGCCGATGAATTTACACTGTATTTTGCTGAGCTGTAGTAACATCGTAGAGCATTCAATGTTTCCCTTGGTTTTTAATAAAATCCATGTTCCACTGAAATGGTCTGATATGAAACAATAGTGGAGACAACAAACTACACCAAACCCATCTCTGTCATCTTTGCAGCAGAGGAAACTAGCACTGGGACCTCCTGGACAAACCCACACAGCTTTGCAGAGAGGCTTGAAAGTCATCATGGTGTGTAGGCACATATGGTGGCCATTCTCACGTTTACTAGATTCTTCTCTTTTTCTTTTAACCAAGACCATAGCTGAGGCTTGCAAAATTCATCAGGGTAGAGGCTCACTGGAGTCATAAAGCCGAACCCAGAAGTGGGTCCAAATCTGTACGTGCTCCTGTCACCGTCACTACTATGCCTAGCAGGCATATTAAATGAATGTGGCTCTGGGAGCCCAGTCATTGTTTGCACACCCTAGTATAGTAAAACCTTGGATTGTGAGTAACTTGTTCCGCGAGTGTTCTGCAAGACGAGCACACATTTCTAATACGTTTTAACTTGATAAACGGGCGATATCTCACAATTCGAGTAGGATGTGACACCGAACGTCAGGTGATCACAAGTGAGCCAATGGTGGTTCTCTCTCTTTCTCTCTCTCTCTCTTGCTGCAGGATTATGGGTGATCACCTCCCATGCTCGGATGCTTGGTCTCAGGCTGCGGTGTTTGGCAGATAGCAGTGATTTTTCAGAACGTTGGAAGGTGCCCACAACTGGCACGAGTGTATTTTTTTGTCATTTCAAAGCAACTATGGACAGTCCTTTACTTTCCCATTCAAGAGTAAGCTTAGGAATGTTTTGCTTCATTCTAGGTCATCGGATAGCTTCCTTGTTAAAGTTGCATGGAAAGAAAAAGGTCCCATTGAGCCAACAGATAGCAGTGATTCTGCTAGTGATAGTGAAAGTCGTCCTACACAATAACCCTCCTCTCTCTTGTCTCCCCTCACACCAGCCACGAAGGTTTTCAAGGTAATTTCAGGTTAATTTGTTTATTTTTCTTTATATTTTGTATTTTCTTTACTATTTGGTATTATATTACAGTATTGTAGTCATTTTTATATGAATATTTTGGGGTTGTGGAACGAATCATCTGAGTTTCCATTATTTCTTATGGGAAAATTCGCTTTGATATACAAGTGCTTTGGATTACAAGCATGTTTCCGGAATGAATTATGCTCACAAACCAAGGTTTTACTGTACCATGTTTTAATTCTCCACTCTTTGAGAAGAAGTCACAAACCAAGCATCCTTTGCTTGCCTTGTGATGCTTTAAAAAGCTAGATTAGTTGCCAGCATTTAAAAGTTAGTAGATTTCATGTGTAACTTCTTTTAAAAAATTAGGAAGGCAGAGCACTTGGCAGGCTCAGTCAGAAGAGCGTGTGACTCTCGATCTCGGGGTTATGTGCGTTTGAGCCACATGTTGGGTGTAGAGATTACTTAAAAAAATAAATATTTTAAAAAATTTAAGGGGCACCTGGGTTGCTCGGTCGGTTAAGCGTCCGACTTCGGCTCAGGTCATGATCTCACGGTCTGTGAGTTCGAGCCCCGCGTCAGGCTCTGTGCTGACAGCTCAGAGCCTGGAGCCTGTTTCAGATTCTGTGTCTCCCTCTCTCTCTGCCCCTCCCCTGTTCATGCTCTCTCTCTGTCTCAAAAATAAATAAACGTTAAAAAAAAATTAAAAAAAAATTTAAAAAAATTAGGGAGGCAATATGGTATAGTGATTAAGAGCCAAGAGTTGGCAGCCATATGCTTGGGTTCAAAATCCTGGCCCTACCACTTATTAGCAATGTGCAGTTGAGGACATAGTCTTTAGGTACCTTAGTATTCTCATGTCCAAATGGTGACGAGGAATAATAACAGTACTTACCTAGAGGGTGTTTTTTTTTTTTTTTTTTTTTTTTTTTTTTTTTTTTTTTTTTTTAATAAGGATTGAGTTTTTACATTAAAGCGACTGGACCAGTGCATAAGCAAGTGGACGTGAGCGTTCACTCTAATGATTATCAACACTGGACATGTTCCAACTCCTCCCTTGGATGGAGCCTTCAATTTCCCATTTGTCACTGTCCTCACTTGGATGGGTCTCATTCACTGACTTGCCTCACCCCTGAGGGCTTCGGAATTTGTGACCCTTTGAATGAGAATACACCAGCACTCAGTGCTTCCAATTTGATTGGAGATCTCCACAGAATCATTTGTTTAAAACATACTTATTGAACACCAACTCTGAGTTAGATAGCTCTGCTCTGGCCACTGGCCATGAAACCCCAGAGAAGTTGGATAGCAAGGAGAGGCAGGGCCGGTTAAATCTCATGAAGTTCTTAGGCACGAAGCTCTCTTTTCCGCCAAGTGATTCCAACTGGGAAGGTCATACAAGCACATCATATGGTGGGGAGGTTACACTAAATGGGTCAGGGGTGTGGCCTAGCAAACAAGGGTAACACATGGTTATTAAAGTTCTGAAAAAACCAAAATGCTCTCACAAGTGCTTGAAATCTCAGTATCAATTGGTCACATGTGCAGAACTGAAAGCCAGGGACAAAAGAGAAAGAGCAACGACAGCTGTTTCGCAATCCAACAAGGGGAGGTCCCTAGAAATTTTATCGTAAATCACAAGTACCTGTTTGTATAACATGACAATGACCGACATTTCCATGCTGCCCACAGACGTACATTCTTGATCCTCAAGAGGACACTACCTACTCTATTGCTTCTCAAAAATCTGCGTTTCTATTTTTTACTTTTTATATCAAAATTATACGTGTCAGATTTCTGCAAGAGCAGCCCTTTACTTCCGACTTCCCCAGGTACAACTTTTGGCTGTTGCTCTATTGGTAAGTAACATACAACTGTTACTATTTCATTACATTTCAGTGCTAGTCATTGACCTTCTATTATGAAAGATGGGGAGTTCGTTCTCTCCCGCTCTATACCAACACGACACTCATATATGTTGCTTGTCCTGTGGGCTCCCCCCATTCTTCCAACACAGTTTTGTCTTAATTTTTCATAAGATCGGTATTTTCCTCAGACTATGTAAACAGTACTCACAGACAAGTCATGTCGCATACCATGCCTTTTCATAGGACATGTTTTCCCTGTAGTCGTCTGTTGTCTTGGTGTCTTTGTTTGCTTAGTTTTCTTGGCTTTATCATGAATCCAACTCCTCAGATTTCCCAGATTATATAAAGCTCCTCTTAATATGTAAAATCAGGGGTACGTGGGTGGTTTAGTCGTTTAAGCATCAGACTTCGGCTCAGGTCATGATCTCACGATTTGTGGGTTCGAGCCCCGCATCAGGCTCTGGGCTGACAGCTCGGAGCCTGGAGCCTGCTTCGGATTCTGTGTCTCCCTCTCTCTGCCCTTCCCCTGCTCATGCTCTTGTCTCTCTCTCTCAAAAACAAATAAACATTAAACAACTAAACATATATATATATATATATACACACACACTGTATATATATATACTATATATATTATACAATATATACTATATATACTATATATGTATAGTACATATATACTATGTATATATAGTATACTATGTATACTATATACTATATATACTATGTACATACTATATATTATGTATACTATATATATATACACGCTATATACTATATATACTATATACTATATATACTATGTATATACTATATATTATGTATACTATATATATATATACACGCTATATACTATATATACTATATATATACTATGTATTATATATACTACATACATATGTATATATATACTATATATACTATATATACTATATAATCAGATGAGGGATTCTAGCAAAGGTTCACAACTTGTCTGGGCTGTTTGCTTCCTAGGGTTGCTACCCAGATCTTGGGAACTTCCTTCCCACAGACCCTGCGAACCCAGATAGATGTTCTCTTGACTTTTGTTACACTTATTAAACATGGAGGCCATTAGACTGAGGTGGCTCTAATGCTGTGCTGGCCTATAGAAGCAAACCAAAATCTCAGCCTGTCAATGTCTTAAGGTCACACAATCAAAAAGCTAAGGAAAACCAATCACAAACAGCCAACTGGGCTTTCGGCTACATCCAACCAATAATCTCCTTTCTTTGTATCTGCACTTCCTTTATGTGTCCTCCCCAGGCTCCTGTGGGTAGAGTGACCCTAACCACTTCCAGTTTGGCACTCCCTGACTTGAATCTATTTTTGCTCAAATAAACGCTTAAAATGTTTAATGTGCGTTAGTTTATTTCTTAACACTAATGACATTAGTAAACTAATAACACTTAGTTTACTTCTCCCCTCTTTCATTCTGTAATGGCTATTCTTTGGATTTTGTGTCGTTTGGACTCAGCCTGAATAATTCTTCTGTAGTCTAGATTCCTCATTTATTTGTTTTGTTCTCATTTCTGGACTTTTCCCTCAGCTTCATTTTCCAATATTTTAATTTCTGCCACATTATGCTCCGAGAGCTCTTTGTCCCCCTCAGTGTGTTATGTTATATTAGTAGTCGTCTCCTGCATCCCACAGATACAACATCACAGGTTGTCACTAATGTTAATGAAAGCTTTTTCCTTGTTAAAGTTTTCTCCTTCCTGAATGTGCAGCTTCTGTTTTTCTTTTTTGTTTCTGGTTACAGTCTTGCATATTAGATTCTTTCCTCAGGTGTCTGCTTTTTCATAGCTGTCTGTTCACATTAAGGAGAGCACCCCTAAAAGGCTGTTTGAAAGCTGGGTGTACCTGTGGTCTTCCCTGGATAGTTCAGGCCAGGCTGTTTCTTTGGGTCACATGGCCCTGATTCTTTCTCCCACTTTGAGGGTATTAAGCCTGGCCGCCTGGCTTGTTTGAGCCTTCGGAGGGGAAGAAGGCTGGCAGTCTTAGGTATATACACTTTCCCTATATATATTCGGTATATACACTTTCCCCTCACCTGTTTTTATTTATTTTTTTTTTTTTAAATTTTTTTTTTCAACGTTTATTTATTTTTGGGACAGAGAGAGACAGAGCATGAACGGGCGAGGGGCAGAGAGAGAGGGAGACACAGAATCGGAAACAGGCTCCAGGCTCTGAGCCATCAGCCCAGAGCCCGACGCGGGGCTCGAACTCACGGACCGTGAGATCGTGACCTGGTTGAAGTCGGACGCTTAACCGACTGCGCCACCCAGGCGCCCCTCCCCTCACCTGTTTTTAGAGTGGTACTGCTACACTCAGCTGGGCTCTCTTGTCCGGAGACCCTCCATGTCATGCTTTCCAGAGAATGGACCTAGGTTCTGGCTGTGCTGGCTGGGGGAAGGCATCTAGGAATAATTAACAGACTTCCCACCATTCCTCCTGTCTCCCCTCTACCATCACTCTCACTGCTGGAAGTTCCTGACTCCACTGTCTTGCTTTTGTTGGGAGTTTTGAATGCAAACCAGGTTCCCTGTCAGCTTTCCCTTCTGCTTCTATAAATTCATCTTGCTCCATCTTCTCTGCCACTTCCAAATTTGGTTGCTGTTGGGGCGCCTGAGTGGCTCAGTCCGTTGAGCATCTGACTTCCGGCTCTGTGCTGACAGCTCAGAGCCTGGAGCCTGCTTTGGATTCTGTGTCTCTCTCTCTCTCTGCCCTTCTGCCACTCATGCTCTGTCTCTCTCTCTCTCCCTCTCAAAGATAAATAAACATTAAAAA